TAATTAACAAATTATAAGTAATTAACAAATATCATATCTGAAAAATCATTCAAATTTATCATAAAAAAAATAGAGTTCAAATCCCTACTTTTCTAAATTGAAAAAAACTTCGACAACATTTCGTTTATACTTGGCAATACTTTGTTTCTATACTGTTAAAAGGGTAATTTTATTCAATTTCATAATTGACTTTGGGATTAATCAATGCAAACTATTGAAGCACAAGTCGGGATTTCTTGAGATAACGATGAAAACTAATTTATATATAAATAAATATATATATATATATATATATATAAAGGGTGAGAGAGAGAGAAGAGAGAGAGAGAGGAGAGAGAGAGAGGTGCATGGAGGTCCCACAGGCGTTAATGGCTCGTCAACTTGCTATAGTTGCAACTCAACTTTTCTTCATCCAAAAGAGAACAAAATTTGAACGAGTCCTTGATGCAAAACCATGAAGTATTTGGCGACATTGTCTCACCATTCTAAAGCACTGCAACAAAGGCATATATTACATTCATGTTCAAATTCATGAATCTATCATTCATGTACGTCTTTTTCTTGTTCCTTTCTACCCGTTCCCATCCCTACTTGTTCCCCATTCTCACATGTTTTATGGTACGTTCTCACATGGGGCGTCAGCCCCTCCCTAGCTAGCCTTTATATGTGAGCCCATCCTCTCGACCTTCTTAGCCTTAAGAGTTGGCGTGAATGCTCCGAGCAAGGTTGCCTATGAATACACTGACTATCGACATGACTCAATTGTTTATGATTCATTTGGATAATTTGGATAAATAGTAAGATTGATTTTGATGAAATTAAAAATAATAATAGAGGTAAAATTAATCATTGTAATTATAAAATTAAATATTGAAACGGTAAAAATAAAATCAATGGTATAAATATGCATTTGGATACAATAATAGTTGTGTTGGTAAAGTGAATTGTAGTGATAAAATAAATAAATATTAAGGACATTAAATTAAAATTGACATAAAATAAATATTTTAAATTATTTATCAAATTAATAAATAATTAAAAAATTATTTTTATATTAATACATGATCCTTGTATTCTCACCCATTGGCCTTGCCTCTTGCTCATGGAATTGATCGTTGGGCACAAGAGAAAGAAAAAAAGAGCTAGGTATGATTGGAGGAAAGAGATGTGATGGGAGGCAGGGATTTTCACTGGACCTAAAATGTCCAGTTGCTGAACGGAGGTATAGCGCGGGGAAATTGCTTAATCGTGCCGGACCACGACATCTAAATGGATGTCTGATGGAATTTTAGGTGTCAATCGCACTTCCTCGTAGGTGCAATTGCATTCAAACGAAACCTTAGACATGGCCTTGTTGGGACACAAATTTTACAACTTGTTTGTTGGTCGTTCTTAAACAAGGGTAGTAAAGAGAATTGAACTTCAAAATTTGCCTTTTTATACCATATATAATCACTCAACCAATTTGTTAGGCGATTGCATTTTAAATTGCTAAAATGATTTATATCTTACTAATTGTCGGAATAATTGTGCACATATACTTTTTAATTTTGGAAATGATTATTGAATGTTATCAAGCAATTGATGACTACTGCATGAGAGTTCCAATCATGTCACAGAAAAATGAAAACGACATTAAGTTGAAAGCACCCGACCATTTGCGACAATAAGCATCTTTTTGAATGATCTGGCCGATACAAGAATTACTACCTAGTTGCCTAAATTTTAGCCCAAGTTATATTTCAATCTTTATTGATGTGAAAGTTTCAATCAAATTAATGTGGAAATAAAGCTCCATTTAATTTGGAAAATCAGTCATAATATCATCTCCTGCAATATTGCAGTAAATGGAAAAAAAAAAAAAAAGAAATATTTTCGCACTACAAGAAAACTATTATATATTGATGCTTTAAAAAAATCATAAGTAAAACTTAAAAATTCATCGGTACAGAACTTAAAAATTCATCGGTACAGCATAATAAATCTTTTATTGATGATCAAAATATCTATTCCGATAAAATTATAACCGCTAGTATCTCTTGTCAGTATATATCTATACTGACGATTTTTAAGTTATCAGAATATATAACAGTGATATACTAATGGTTTTAATCCGTCATTATATGTATAGCTATTGGTATAACAATTATTATGTGTTCCGTATTATACCTTTTAACGACGATTATTCTTGTTAATATAGACTTATTTGTTTTAATTTTTTTAACTTATACTGGTGATGTCTCCGTCGGTATATCTTTTACTAATAGTCAATGTCTATCAGTGTAGTTTTATGCGTTTTAACTTTTACCAACAGTCCATGATGACTGTCAGTATAGCTTGAAATATTTTAATAATAAAACATATCGGTATAAATTTTAAGATATTGGTAAAAACTTTTTTTAAATTATATTTTTATTTATTAATATTAATATTAATTTATTTATGATTATAATATGATATGGTTTCATATAAAGTAAAAATATTTAATAACATTTGTAATAAAACAACAACCAAATTATTTTATAATCCATAAATTTAAAATAAGTTAAGAACTAATATCATTGTACCAAAATTAAAAAAAAAAAAGAACATTAATATCTATGATTAATTGTCTATAAACATGATACTCAAAGTAAATAAACAATTCCCCAAAGTAAAATGATGCCATCCCAAGTGGTCCGAATACCTGATTAATTAGTAAAACCTAATAAAGAATTCCATGTCAAGTTAAACTTTTACTAGTCAATTAACATAGGAAATGTTCCCAAGGTCAAGTCAAGCGTATCAAAACTATAAACAAATGAATTGTTGACACTATTTTATCCACTATTATAGGCTCCTTTGCTTCACCAACCCAAGCAACTACTAAAATTATTGAATTCTTCATAATTGTTTGAAGGTCTTTAAAGGGCTACTGCCCATCATCTAGATAAAATAGATCTATGATTTTATTCATAAGCCGGTTATCATTACTTACATACAGAAAAATATGTAATTTAATAATTGAATTTCAGGAAATATTTTTTAAACAATGTAATTTACTATTTTATTATACCTGCACCAATTTGTAAATGTGTTGAGTCACTAGCAAAGATTTATGTGTTTTTTGTATAAATTGTGTGAACTAGTTAGCATAAAAAATCCACTTGTGCTATTATTAATGGTTGAACTTGAAATCATCTATATATATATATTCTAAGCCTAGATTCATCTAATATAGTCAAAATACAAAAAAAAAAAAGAAGCCATGCTTGATGACATAAATTGAAATGTAAAAAATGAAAAATACCTTTAAAAAATGACAATATTCTTGATGCTTCAACTTTAATTCAACTCTAAAACAAAATGTGTTCCTCCTCAAGAGAACTGTGTTGTGTTTTTTTTTTTTAAACTCAGTAGCCATAAAAAAAAATACCCTCAGTTTTTTTTTTTTGCAATGTTCTCTGCTTTTTCTCTTTTGTGTTTGTTATAAGTTCCCCCATTTTTTTCTCTAAGTTTCTCCTCTTTTTTGCTTGTAGGAATTAGCTCCATTTATAGAGCTTTTTAAGTCTTCAAATCCTAGATAATCTGGGACTCAAGAAAACTTTCATGCCTCCCTTAATTCATGCTGTAAAATTAAGTTTCTGGCAGAGGAAAAGCAACCACATTGGCAGCTTGATTTCAATTGCCAAAGTTGAAATCCAAAATTTTGACTTTTTTGTTAATTCATTTTATTATTATTATATATTTTTTGTTGGACAAAATAAGTATCTACAACCATAGCTATGCGTAATAATGGACTAAATGAGTAATAGGATAAATTCAACACAAGGATGTTTTATCTTGGTGGAAGACATCATCCATTAAATAGTAAAATAAGTGATATTTGGTATTTTAAAAGTTATTAAAAATAGATATATCTAGATTGTTGAAGATATATTTAAATTATATATATTTTTAAAAGAGAACATATATCTAGATTGTTAAAGATATATCTAAAATATATTTTTTTTAAATTCAAAAAAAGATATATAGATGGGTTAAATGTTCATTTTGCAAAAAAATATCAAAGTTATTGATTTGATTCTAAAGATATTTGAAAAAAATTGAGGTTAAGATAAATTTTATCTAATTTAAATTAAAATAAAACTCTTGAAATAAATCTAATTTTTGAAACTTTCAAATATTTTTAAAATTAAATAATTATTGAATAAGATTATTTGATTAAAATTTTAAATTAAATTATTATATTACATGTCAAAAATATAAGTTGACATACTTTATCAAGAAAATATGTATCCTATAAAATAATAGATATATATATATATATATTAAAATAAAAGAAACAAATTCTTTTTTTTTTTTACTAAAATTGAGTTGATTGACTTAAAAATATTATCAATTGGAATATACGGTTCCATATATATATATATATATATATTGCTAAATTTATTAGCTGAAGGTTCCTAATTACCTCACCAAATCTATTAAATTTAGTGAAAAGTGTCAAATGAATATTGTGATGGATTTTGTAAAGTAGTATTGATAACAGTGCTTTTTTCAACATTTTTTTAATCCCTTCTATTATAGATGAAAATTTGGTAACACACATTTTTAACTTAAGTTTGTTTCTCATGCTTGTTTTCAATAACCAAGATCAATTCACTCTAAACCTTTCACACTGCCAAATTAATTCAAAACAGTAAATCGTTTTGATGCTTTTATTTTGACAATAGAACAGCTACATTTAAATCCAAAAATAAATAATCCATCTAAACTAAACTATTTGAAAGATCCGAAGAACAATAGCAGTTTTTTAAAACCATTTGTAAACAATATTTAAAAAACAAGTTCCTATGTTAAAACTTACACTATGAACTGGAGCAACTTCCAAGAAATAATAATTTTATGTTCATACAGCTTGGTATGAGTTAATTATTTTCCTGCACAATTCAATAAATCTAAATACATTACTATTTATATTTAAAAAAAACGTAAGTAATATCCTTAAAAATGGCGGAACCCTTGTCAGTTTGGCTTGATTTATAAACTTTCAAATGGGGGAATTTGAAAGATATATCCGAATCCAAGGCTTGATCTGAAATCGTAGATACTATGTTGGAACAGCCAGCTGGAAATCATGGACTTGTTTCTGGTTTGTTTTATGATGAATCAAGTGAGTGTTGTTCAATCAAGTCAAAAAGTTCGTCTCCAATGCCAAATCCGAGCATCCTAGCCATGTCACTCGTCTTCAGTCTAGGCTTTGGAGTGCCATGCTGTTTCAACCAAGAGTATACAATGAAGACCTTCTTCATGATGAACAATTCCAGGGCCTCTGGATTAAACACAACTCCCATTCTCATACTCATCTGCCAACATACACAAGGAAAAAAAGAAACATTGTTAGGCCATGAAAAAATTTCATCTCTGTCTCTCTATTGTTCCATTTCAATCCATGCTACCTGGTGGGGGACTAACATGGCTGCATAACGAGCTAATTCCCCAGCTCGCCAGTCCAACAAGACAGGGAGCCAAGGATAGGTAGCATCAAGTCTTACAAACCATAACCTTATATCAGGAAATTCTGACAGTTCTCGTGGATCATTTGGATCATCTCTTGTATAATTAATTGTAAATCCAACTGTCCTTTCAAGAAACTCTTTTGGCTCAGCTAGAAAGATTTGTACCATGAAAAGTTTGTCAGGGTTACATTAATCAACAACCTTATCCAAATAATAGAAAATGGACATTTTATATGATTCCTACCTGATGAAGGTGAAGTAATTCCAGTAGCATTCTGAAATGGGGATAAATCAAGCTGGCGTATATCATCATTATCAATAATTACATCAAATCGACCTTCATTTGGTGGCATTGGAGGCTCTACTTGGGGTGAATCTGTGAACATAGAGTTTCAGAAACAGATGTAACTTGAATTTTCAGTTTTAATCATGGCTCATGGGCAATTGGACAAGGTATGAAAGCTGGAAAGAGCTTGAGTTGCAGTCCAAGAAATAAAAATGATTATTATCAGTAGTTTAGACCCTCATCGACTACTTTCGAAACCCAATTTAACAACCCAATCCTGCAAATTTCAGTCTCTATTTTTTCTAAATTCCAGAAATTTGGCCAGAAATGTAAGTTTTTTCAGATATCAGATTCTTGTTCTTTCGTTTTACTCAAGATTGAGCAAACAGTGGGAACAACAAACATAACCAACACTAAAATTACAGTATCTTAATATGGAACATATTTTACTAATGAAATTCAGTTCTTACCATCATCATCACCATACAAGGAGAGGTCAAAATTTCCAGAAGGATTGAATGAAACTGAAGCGGCAAACTGTCCTCTTTGTCGAGTGAAGTGGGAATTAGCCAAAGTAGGCGTCAAACCTGAGATGGGTTTGCATGAAATCCATGGGGTTGAAGAGGATATGTTCTGTTTGAGCGAAGGAGAAAGTGGAAGTAAAGGATTAATGGCAGTAGCCATGTACTGTACTTTGTGGTCCGAGTGCAGGTTTTATAGTTTGATTCAGTTATTTTAGTTTCAGTTTATCTAAGCACTTTTGCTAGCAGCCATCTGTTTTAGATGCTCATATCCATTGGGTGGGGGGTTTTTGTAGGCTGTAGCTCGAACCCATCGTGTTGTCAACATGTTCCCTGCTTAAATTAAAACTTTTAAAATTTCGTATAATAAGCTTCAAATTTATTATTATACTTAGGAAGTAAAATCAAATTTGACACCCATTTTTTAATGGGTGTAATTTTATTATTATACCCTTTGATTTGATTTAATTATGGCTTCAAGCTACTTTCCAAGACCACAATCTTAACTCGAATCTTGGGTATGATATTTTATTAGTTTGGACTTGGCCCAAAAATAGTTTAATTAATATATAATACATTTTAATTAAAATTTAATTTTAAAATATATTTTAAAATATAAAAATAAAATTTAATATTTTAATAATAATTATAACTTAAATGGATAGTTTGAATTCAAATCTAATATATATATATATATACATATATATATATTATAATATATATAGTTATCAAATAAGATTTGTTAACGTGAATATTTATGTGAATAATTTTTCTTTTCGACATATAAAAAAATTACTAAAATTTTCTTTATAATGATATATATATATATATATAAGATATATTTTAAGTTTAAACTATTTATCAAAAATTTATTTCAAAATTTATTTAATTATCCAAAACTTTTAAAATTTAAATGAAAAACTAATTTAGATTTAAAATAATTAAAGTGCTAAAATTATTATTATTTATTTTGGTAAGATTTTGTTTAAATAAGTAAAATTAATTCTTATTTTTATTTATGGATTAAATAAATGCATTTAAACAATTATTGGTTTTCTAAATCTTTTTAAGATATATTTATTTGAAAATTTTTAATTATCCAAAGTTTTTCTTTTTACTAAAAAAATTATCTTTATTTGTCAAACACACCTTTAAATATATCTTTTTCTTTAAAAAAATTAATTTTCTAATAATTAGTTAGACATATGGGTCTAGACATGGGATTAGTTCTAAATGACCAAAAAAGGAGTGAAAAAGCAGTTGGTCTGTAATTAATACTATAGTTTGGAATACATATATTTTTACTGCTTTTACAAGTAAATTTATAATATTAATAATTGTAAAGTTTGCCAATGGAATATAAAAAACTTCGCCTATCATTTTCAACTAAGATAATAATATATTTTTTTATTTTTTAAAATTAACTTTTTATATCTATCTTAAATTTTAAAAATATCAAATTTAATTTTATCTAAATAGATTTCATGATAATCTTTTATTATTTAAAAGGATAAAATTTATTCTCCTAATAATTTATAAATGATTGTTTAATATCATTTCTTAACATCAATTTGATTTTTTTTGTCATTGTTCTCCATTTTTATGTTACCTCTTTTTTTATATTAAAAAGTGAAAGTTATAGAAGCATTTAATTTTTTCTTTTTTAAATACTTATGATAAACCCATAGTCTTTAACTTTGTTATATATATATATATATATTATTAGATGTAAAGTTACATAAATATATATATTCTTATATTTTGTAAATATTGTCAACAGACCTTTTTTCTTTACTTTTGACTATTCACTCAATTAGGTCATTTTTTTTCTTTCAATTGAATTTCTTTTTTAATATATTACGAGGTACAAAGTTACAGAAAATATTAATTTTTCTATTTAATAGGTATTATCCATAAACTTTTTTTTCTTTATATTTGACTATTCCCTCAACCAAGTAATTTTTTCTCTTAATTCAGCTTTCTTACAATATGCAAAAACACTTTCATTAATAGTCTACTTAATTACATTGATTTAAATCTACTATTTATGTAAAAATATTGTTAGAAATAACAAGAACTAATTGAATTTTGAAATCATATTTTATATATATATAATATAACTAGTTCATCAATTGTGATTTTGTATAAAAATTTGTAATCTGCGATACTTCTTCCTCTTCAAAGTCATAACACTCTTTGAATTTATAAAAAAGTTAGGATAAATTGAAATCCAATTTGATTTCATTCTTTTTTATTTTTCAAATCAAATATCATTTAGTAAGTACTTGATATTTACTTAAATATAATTTTAATTCAAAAATTAAGAAGTGTCCATGAATTTGGTGGCATCTATTGTAAACATTTTTAAATTTTAGATTCTGTTTCAAATTTAACTCAAATCATCTATTCAATTTATATTTATTATTAAAATGTTAAAATTTTATAATATTAAATATATTTAAAATTTGAAATTAAATAAATTTTTAATATAATAATATTTTGAATCCATGCTTAACAAGTTATGCATAAAATCATAAATTTGACCTATAATCCAACTAACAAACAAGTCTTTTTTCTAATAAAGTTAAAAAATTATATTCAATTATGGTCCATTTGTGGTTTTTTTTTTTGTTAATTTCCTTTGCTTGAATTTTGAAAAACATTCATTAATCAAACATGAATATGAATTTAAAAATAAGTATTTTTTAATTTATTTTAATTAGTTTAATTGAATTAAATTTATTTAACTAACTTTTTAAAATTTAATTGGTATAAAATTATATATCTTTCACTAGATTATAACATATGTGATGCACGGAATAATTTTACTTATTTAATATAAATATGCATATATATACAATTAGTTTCTTTTCAAAATTATATATATATATATATATATACAAATTAAATTTTTTTCAAAATTATATTCAAATTTTTAAAACTCATAGCATATATAAAATTTATATATATTGACTTGTCATTAAAAAATAAAACTTTCTAAAATCTCCATGAAAAAAATTATGTCCTTCCTTTGGATTTTTTTTGAATTATATTTATACACTTATAAGATTATATCAAATAAAAATAAATTATGCTTTTCTTAAAAAAATAAAAATATATATTATTGAATGATATATTAAATAACAAAAGAAATATTAACATATATTCAATTTAGTAATTTTGACTAAATTATTATATAAATAAGAAAAATGTTAGAAAATATGTGAAAAAAGAAAAAAATATATTGAAAAATATATATTTTTTATAAGAATGAAATTGTAATAAAAATAAAATATATCTTGGAAAAAAGTTATAAACAAAACTAAAAACAAATTGTAAAAGTAATAGAATATATCTTGAAATAAAGTTACTAAAAAATTAAAAAAATGATGTATAGTACATTACATTTGTAGTCTTAAATTTATAAAAGAATTTTTTAGTGGCAATTAGGATTAAAATGAAATATTGATTTTATTTTTAAATAAATAATTTTAGTTGTTTATCCAATAATTTTATTTAAAAAATTATTTAATTATCAAAATCTTTCAAACATATTTACAAATTACAAAGATTAAGTTTATCTAAATATTTCAACAATTTTTTTATCTTGATTTAAAAAATTATTTTTTTAAAAAAATTTACGTTAAGACATTAAAAATTTAAGTAAATTTATATAAGATTTTGAAAATTTTAAAAATTTTATCTTAAAATTTTAAATAATAAAATCATCAAAATAATTATATCCATTTGAACTCTAATTATCAAATTTAAATTTCAAATAAATGTAAAAAATTTAATATTATCTTTATCACTTATATGAGATTATTTGGCAAGAGAAAAACAATTGAAATTAAAAAAATAATTTGTGATTTTTGAAATAACATTATAATTAACCATGATTTATAGGATTTTTTTTCCATTATACTTTAACAATAAATTAATTTCAAGCATAAATAATTAAATATATATGATTTTATCTTTCTTTTAAATTTTAAAATTTTGAATAACTAATAATTTTTTAAATATATTTATTTGCTAAATAACATAAAATTAGAAATTATCTTACGTGTTATCATGAAGATAGTTTTTTTTACACATATAAATTACTTATGTTTACCTTATTAAATAGATAACAACTAGACTAAATGATAAATAGTTTTTAACTTGCTACATCAAAAACTAAATCTCCTAAAAAAATAGTTTCAATTATAATTTAAAAATAATTAATTGAATAATAATTAAAAGTAAATTAATAAAGCAAGATAATCCTGCATTGCATAAGTAACAAACTAGTTTAAGTTTTTACAATGTTAGCTAGATCTTGCTTAATCCATTTCTATCCACACCCACCTCTAATTAAAAGTTAATAATAAAAAAATTTCAGTGAAAAATATAAGGAATGTTTTATAAAAAATTTTCACTTTTGCATATTTTTGAATTAAATTAAAATATATGCTAGTAAAATTATATCTATTCATAGTAAATTTGATCTATCTCTTTAAGTAAAGTCCTAAATTTAGACTTTCTCCTAATTTGTTTATAATATAGAAACTTGTCTTGCTTAGCAAAGCAAAATTTGAATACATCCCATGTCACTGTCATAAAATTTACTAATATTGATTTGAGTTAATTATAATTTTGGCACTTGAACTTTGTGAATATATACAAATTGATATTTTAAAAAAATAAAATGTATAATTTACACTTTCAATTTTTAAATAATATATAATTTGCACCATAAATTTTTAAATTATATACCATATTAATCTTAATTATAATCTCATTAATCATATCAACTTATATATACAATATTTAATAAATATTATCAAATTATATGTTTACTACATATACTATCAACATCTTTTAATATAAATTAAAATATAAGTTTTACCTGAAACATAAAAACTGTTTAGGATTGGTTAATCATTATTTTATGAAGTAACATCTATATGAAGGTTTTTACAAAATATTTAACATTTTTATTTAACAAATAACATATATATAATAAATTTATACTAGTTAAATATAATATATGCGAGTTAAATTGATAATATTAGAATAAAAATTAAAATAATATATTATTTAAAAATTTAAAGTATAAATTATACATTTTATTTTTTAAATTATATATTTGTTAAAAATTAAGTACCAAAGTTTTATTTTTTAAATACCAATTTCTATATTTGTTAAAAATTAAGTACCAAAGTGTTATTAACTCT